ATCACCCCTTTTATACTTTCAAAACAAAAATGCCTTCAAAATTTTAGAAACTAGTTCTTGGTCCATGTGAGGACCTAAATTCTGGGCCAATAGTCTGACCTCTGAAACTCAGTCTTTTGGGGCCTTGCTTTTCTCAACGGCAAAATTCAAAATATCACTGTAGATCCCTTCTGACCCCAATGTTCATAATGGCTGTGACTGAGAGTTTAACTTTGAAAACATAATGGTGGAAGATAATTTGCACTTACAGATGGCCACAGCCAATGGGGTCACTCACATATCCTGAAGAATTTATCTTTAATAAGATTGTTTTAAATTACTGCATTTCTTATGTTAGGAGAAACAAAATGGCCTATATTTTCTATAATTTTTTGTTTGAACATCATACCGTACACCTGTGTTTCTCTGTCCTTGTTGTCTTAATCTACAGATAACTATATCAGGGTTTCTTGTTTTCCCTTGATTTGCAGTGACTTTAAATGTGAATTATTCAGGCTCTGGAAGATAAAGTCATGTTGCCCATATCGTTTCATTTGGAAGCTCAATCAGATTCATTAGAAAAGCAACACACAAGCTACATACTCAAGAAAAGTGAAGACTAGGTCACCCTCTAGGCAAATGAAAAACTCTACAAATCGAATAAAGAACAGAAAGAACCACCTCTAATAGTTACGACTATTTTGTACCAATCAATAAGGCTCTGAAATGATCTGACAATAATAATTGCATTCATTCTCACAAGGTATCTGTTGCCTGCTGGCGGGCAGGTTCCCAGTAAGTGATGCCAGGTGCCTGGGTAAGGACTTAGAGACCAGGCTTCATTCTCATGGCTGCATTCACTGGCTGTGCCTTCGCCCTTGTGGATCTCCATCAGCTTATCTGAAAAAGGAAGCAACTGATCTAGTGCAGGGATTTTTAAACATCCATAGGGGGGAGCCCTATATTCAAAGGAAATAAAATGGCAAGGTTCAATATTTGAAATGAAGCAAATGGAATCTTGTCATGTTGTCGGTTTGGAGTTATCTCTTGTTTGGGGTAGGAGCAGGGTTTGGGTACCTGGATTCACAGGCCAGCACAAAAACACCTCTGTTCACACCCAAGTTGTCTAAGACCATAACCACAGGCTCCTGAAATGTGACTAGTATGAATTGAAATAGATTATAAACATAAAGTGCCCTTGGATTTCACTTAGTCTCAAAAAGGCAAATGTCTTGTAAATTTTACATGATTATATATTGAAGAACAATCATATTATAATATTTTGGATATTTTGAGTTAAATAAAATAAATTCACCTCTTTCTTTCTTTTTCAAATATGCCACTGTAAAAAGTTTAAAAGTGTTTATGTGAATTGTTACATATCTCCATTAGACAGTGCCACTCTAGATAAATCCTTTTGGCTCCCTTCTCCTGACACTGGTGCCTTGAAGGCTTTGTGGGGATTTTAATCACTGTTTCTGCATCCCCAGGTCCTATATGCAAGTCACACTGTTCCCGTGAAATGTATTAGGAATTAGTCCTGGCGGCTTTACTTACTACCACACTCTGCTCAATGAACAATATTTCATTCAAACCCCAATTTTTAAAAATTTTTTCTGTTGAAAAATATTTTTCTTTTCAGTCACTCTTCCCATAGTGGGCTTAGTAAACTCATCGGTTCCAGGGCATAAACATATTTTCCTGCCGGGTAGAAGTTGGTGAAACAAGTTTCCATGTTTCATGGATCATGTCTTTTGGCTGTCATTCTTAGGGGGAATTTCTTCTTGTCCTTTTCAAGTTACACTGTAGTCCTTTTGATAAGTACTGTGTAAATATTTCTCCCTAGTAGTCACATTTAAAATGGAATGTACTGTTGTCCCCTGTGACAATGTACAAACTTTACTGTTGTAAGCCAATTTCATTTATGGTCTTTGCCTTTTCCTTTGGTCATTTTCCTAATGGCTCAGATTGTTTGAGCTGAAGGGACTGTCTCTAGTATTATGGTAGTTAAATTTTACCTCTGCATTTTCTATTACTGCCATCTAATTTACTCCTAGTCTTCCATGACTTCAATGCTCACCAGAAAATATCAATATTAGGAATTGTTTAGACCCACAATCTAGTGATTGTGCTCAGGAGACTTCTCCTCTTATCATCCACAAGCAGATCAATAAATCCTTTTGTTTGTTCAATGGCTGGTCTGATGATGGTGCATTGCATGGTTTTTGTTTCTTTGGGCAAGCATCCCTTTATCTAATTTCCGGAAATTATACATACAGCTTCCACTCATCCACAGTTATCTGAATTTGTCTTTGCAAGTCTCTTTAATCAGACAGTAGAAGGGAGCAGGAATGCCAGTCACTGTGTTCACCTGAGAATAGATAGTCTTTATGTAGAGAGAGAACATGGTCCCAGTGACCAGGTGATGACCAGGAGAACATGTTATCTTCTGACTCAGATGTGCCTATGTTTGTTCTCAAGATGGGCAGCAGAGGGCAGCTTCCAATGGATCAGAATATTGACTTCCTTCCCTATTGTTAAGTTTTATGACTTGAAGAAGAGCTTGTGGACTAAAAAGAGAATACAAACAACTTAAGTACAGCTACCTCTTCATATATCAGGCTGCTCCTCTGCAGTAACTTTATAATTGATATTCACTTTGGAGTTCATTGTTTTAATTATTCTTCTCGTTCATCAACATTGAAGTGAAAAGTAATTTCATGTCTGACCCCCTTACAAAATGCTGAAAATGCAGTTCATAGGAATGTATGCCATCTCTCCCCTCTGAAACTCATTTATCTCTTCTATAAAGTGGGACAATTTATGCATGTGTTTCATACATCTTCACCAGCTTGCTGAAATGATCAAGTGAGATGGGATATAACAGAGCTGCCAGATTTAGCAAATAAAAATACAGAATGCCCACTTAAATCTGAATTTCAGATGAACCATGAATACCATTGAATGGGACCTACTAATACTAAAAAATTATTCATGGCTTATCTGAAATTCCAATTCAAGTGTGCATCCTGTATTTCATCTGGCAATTCTAGGATATTAACATGCTTACCTTTCCGCTAAAATGAGACAAATATGTTAGTCAGTGTAATATTTCGTTATTTTTGTGTAATTACAGTGATTCATGTCTTTTGAATAACAACTGTATGGTCAGCATTGATTAGTCTTGAAAGACTTGCAGTAGTTATGACTCCTTCATGATGAATATCTATAGTTTTCAGTTTGAGAGATAAACTACAAATACATGACACTCAGATTTGTGTGTATAACATAATTAGCAGTGTATGTTTTCATGAAAAGGCCAAATATTATGAGAGCTAGCACCAAAGCCGTATCCCTTCCCTGCGTCCTGCTGTCAGGAGCAATTCTGTGGTTCCACACCCCATGCTTCCCCTCTCTTCTTGAGAATGGGAGCTGAAACTGATAGGAAATGCCAATTTGTTTCTTTTCATAATGGGAAAGCTATTCACCAACACTTCTTACCAGATACAGGAGTAATGATGGCATTCTCACTCCAATCTGGCTGTTTTTTTCCTCCCCCTGTCTCCCTCCCTCACCTCTTCTTTCTTTTCTTCCTTTCTTCACTCATTTCATCTCAGAATGTTAAAAAATAATTTAAAAGGTTTTATGTATTATATATACTATATTATTATATATTATATTATATATTATATTATACACACATACAAACACACACACATCTTCTTTTCCTGCAAATGGCTTTGGAGTATTGAATTTTGATGCATACAGGGTGTGTATGACTTTATTTCCTATGGCAAATTTTCAGAGTTAATATTTTATTAGATGAAACCCGTTACAATAGTTTTCTTCATTTATATTTAGTTTATGGCACTTTGGTTTGAAATCCACCCATATTGGATAAATAGATGTTTCTTATTTCACCTTCACATGAATGGATATTATAACTCTCCCTAATGATCATAATGGTAAAAGTATTAACCAGCACTCCTTACCAAACACAGGAGTAATGATGACGTTCTCTTTCCAGCCTGACTGGTCTTTTCCCCTCTCTCTCACCCTCCCCTCTTTCTTCACTCATTTGTTCATTATCCCACCAACATGAGGGGGGACCCCACCAAACAAAAATGGAATTATCATTGAGAGGGTAGGCCTCTTGTAGTACAGGCTTCCCTCGCTAGGTAAGTGTTCTAGGAACCCATCAGTATCAGTGTACCAGATAACATTGTTGTGAGACTGTGCTAGTCTTTAGTCAATTTTTTTGGAGATTCTTTCAACATGTTTGCCCATTTCATGATGAGTGATTTACAAGTGCACCTGCCCACACTGAGCTGAGTGTTCAGCAGCTTTTGGCCTAAAATGGCATGATCCCCATGCTCTATCCTCCCTGTTCACCTGATCTCACCCCCAGCAACTTTTTCTGTTTCTCTGGATGATAAAAGTTCTCAAAGATAAATGTTTTGCCAATGTGTATAAATAAAAAACAGCAGAAGCACTAAAAGGCATCAAAATCGACAAGTTCAAAAACTGTTTTGAGCTGTAGAAAAAGGGTCTCATGAGGTGTATTGCATCAAATGGAGAGTACTTTGAAGGGGACTGAAGTTTAAATATGTAAGAATAAGTTCACAATTTTTTATAAATAAATGCCTGTCCCCCTTGTATTTATGAAGCACCTAATCTCTACCAGTCCCGAAAGTAGCCACTGTGTGTACATTAAAGGACAAGCTGACATAATTCTTGCCTCCATGGAGCTTAAGATCAAGTGTAAAAACCACTAAACAAGTAAATCAGTAACTAACACTGTGACAGATGTTGTAAAGTAAAAAATAGAATCGAAGTATAAAGCGGTTGTGGCTGTTGTGTCCTCTTATATCAAAATTGTGTGTGTTTGTGTGTGTGTGTGTGTGTGTGTGTTTTTTTTTTTTTTTTTAAGAAGGGTCTCTTTTATGAACCAGGCTCTGTCTTTCTGCCAGTGAGAGGAAATGATATTGCCATTTGTCACCTTAGGCAAAGGCACTCAGGCGATGTCAGGCTCCTGGTACAGCAAGGGTATCCTGGCGGCTGATACCAGAGCACAGAGAGGTGGAGGTGAGGGTGGAGTCAGCACTAAGAGGGGTCAAAGGCAGCACAGCCCACAGATGACACGGGCCATGTAGTGACCTCCTACAGAGGACCCAGGGCAGGAGAGTGCGGTCATCAGATGCATGTTCTGAGATTGTCTCTAGTTGCAGTGAAGAGTACGAGTACTCTGGAGAAATCTAGATGAGAAAGGTGTTCTCAGGTAGCAGGAGGGTGGGATGGTGAGAGGTGGGAAGATGTGGACTAGGTGAGTCGTGGATGGGGAGGGTTCCAGTCCTTAGTATTGGAGTCATGGTGTTGATGTCCCTGAGACGAGGCCACAGGAGGGAAGGGCACACTGCTGGGCAGGTTGGAGAGTCAGATAGACCTATGAAGTTAGTGTTGTCTCTGGTCCCCAAGGTTCGACTGTGAATACAGGGCTTACACTCAGTAGTGAGATCCTAAATGGGTGATGGATCTGAGGTGACTACAGCGGGGATGAGCGGATTTTGACCCAGAGTGTGAACTCAGAGCAAAAATAAGGCACAGGTAGGTAAAGGAAAGGCTTCATGAAAACAAGAAGGCTCCCCATGTGCTTGGTCTGATGCCCAGGGAAGGGGCAGGCAGCTTCAGACAGAACTCATCATGTGACCGGGCTCTCCAGAGCAGGAAGAAGACATAGCAGAGCCATGGACTATAGACCAACACACACACCCACGCTGAGGACCCTTCTCTGAAATGCTAAGCCCTCTAGTTTTGCTAGATCCCATTAGCTGAAAAATCAGATACAAGTTGTGCTGAAATAGGCATGGGAAGTTTTTGATCAATGATGGCTAATTCTTTTAAGTCAAATTATTGAAGATCTGTTGGAATTTTGTTTTTTCCCCAGTTGCTTAAGAATTTGAAAAGCATGTGAGTATATTGATATTTGGACCCTTGTTCATTTAAGCAGATGTCTCAGTGATCATTCATCAAAAAAAAAAAAAAAATAACCAGGAGTTTTTGGTAAACTCTTGGATAGGATTTGGGTCTGTAACCTGTGTTTCCCATGCCACGCTAGGCTGGTGACAAAATAGCAAAAGAGCAGTCACAGTACAAGCACAGTGATTCTCCAGTTGGCCCTCCCCGTCTGCCACAGCCTGCCCCAACACCAAAAATGCTATGAAATGTTCTCTTCCATCCAAGAGTTTTTCACATAAGCTCCCGCAGAGGCCTTTCTGCACTTCTGGTTGTGATGGTGTTCCCAGTTACCATGACATCCCAAAGGGTGGCCACAGGCTCTGTGGCCTCCATCTGCTGTCCTCTGCTGGAGACCTCCTCACAGGCCCTTGGGGCTGAGTCATCTGTGGTAAAGTCACTTTCCCTAAAGTTCCGTCCTGTCTGTGCCACTGCCTTAGGGCTGTGTAAGTTTGTTGATGCTCTGTACCACCCCAGGCAGGAAGACGCAAGTATCTCTGAGGTTGAATTTTCCAACAAGCTTATGGACTGTGATCTCCAAGTCAGAATTAAGTTTATTATAGAATAAAAACATAGTTTTTTTTTTTCTTGTGCACCTATGTCTGTGAATTTGCTAAAATATCTGCTGCCTTCCTTCACAGCTAGCATTTTCTATCTCCTCTTTCCTCTCTCCTCTCTCTCTCTCTCTCTCTCTCTCTCTCTTTCTCGCTCTCTCTCTTGCTCTCTCTGTTTCTCGTATCTCTCTCATGCATGCAAACACACACTCTACTGTCCAAGTCAGGTCTCATGTATTTAATCTTCCGGCATGTACCATACTTCAGTGTACACTTGGCCTCTTTCAAAAGTAATATATTAAATCAGCTAGCCTCAAATAAAATTAAGCAATTGTTTGCCATAACTGTATGTGCTATTGTTCTACCAGTTCATAATCAATGAATATTCATTGGAGATGTTTCAGATATACATTTTTAAATAAATTCAGGCTAATACATGTATGCATATGTATTTTCTCTTTAAACACAAATAGCCTCAATCTCTAAGGATTTTCATAGAGATAGAAAAATGTGAAATATTTTCTGTCTTTTGCAATTAATTGGTTGACAAGAGGCTTTGATGCCAAAGATTCTTGACTTTACTTCTAGTTTTAGAATAACTTCTTAACCTAATTTTCAGTACTTGCAAAATAAGAGTCATGATGTTTTGAAACTCAGAATCATAGTGATTTTCATTTAATCAGTGCCTTCTGGATGATTCCAGGTGCTTAGATGAATGTCAGATTTGCTTCTAGAGGGCTGGGTTTCATGCCTAGATTTGCAAGCTGGCGGAAGACTGTTGGGAGTCTCACCACAGGGCATCCACAGGTTTCAAGTCTCTGTCCCTGACACACGTGCTGGCCATGCCTCATAGTGGCTGAAAGGACCCTGTACCAGATCCCTCACAGCCTATCTAGGGAGCCCACATGATTCAGGGGACACTCACTCTCAGGCAGTGCTAATTGCCAAGCTTATAAATAAGTGCATATAAATACCAGGGAGCTGAAAACCTGGAGTAAGGAGGGCTTGGGTTAGGTCAGAAGTGGAAGTTCAACAGCATAGGAAAGAAGAAGTAGGAAGTTGAGCCCGGAAAATGCCTCCCAGAGAGCAAATACTAGAAAGAAAGAAGATAATGTACATAGAGGAGGAAGCAAGGTGGAGAAGGGTGTGCTTTCCTCAACAAGAAGGAGGAAGGTACAGCATCATTGTCCTGCATATTTGTAGTCAACCATGAGGTTGTGCCTTTCCTGCTGGGATAACAGAGTCAACACTTCTGACCCAGAAGTCTAAGATCATATTTGAGTATTTCTGATGTTCCCTATGGGACAGCACAAAGTATGCCACTTTGAGATCTCTGACCCCAGACTTGCAACTGGAAGAGTCCCACAGTAGATGCATAGTCCTCAATCCTCATCCCTGGCTGTGTGAGAGCATCCCTGGACAGTTTTAAACAATACTGTTGTCTCACATCCATTGCTACTGACCGGATGGGTCTGGAGTGGGACCCAGGCATCCTGTTTTTGAAAAATGCTCAGATGACTTATCGGCTTGCAGACCCTTGGCTGAGAACTTTTAACTGAAGGTGGCTGGTGAAACCCGTTAACCTTATTTCCTTCTCACCCTGTGGTCCTCACAGATTATGGCACCATTAAGAAAGTGCGGGCACCCCTGAATCAGACCTCGGGCAGCTGTTTGCTAGAAGAGATCGAGCTCTTCCCCGAGAGGCGGAGAGAGCCCATCCGGAGCCTGCAGATACTCCACAGCCAGAGCGTCCTGTTCGTGGGCCTGCAGGAACATGTAGCCAAGATCCCTCTGAAGAGGTGCCAGTTCCACCACTCGCGCAGGTAGGGCATCCCTGGGGATCGGAGTGCGCTGGTGCGTGAGTCGGGTTCACCCAGAGAGTGGGCACTGGAACAGGGGAAGCTTCAGATGCTCTGTGGCTGAATGACTTCAGGACCTTAATATCTGTGGGAGTCCCATGTCCCAGGATGCAGACTTCTCCTACAAACTGAATTACTGTCACAAGAATACCCACAGTTCTCAGAGGAGCAGCCACCTTGTGGCATCCGTAAGCAGTTGTCAGAGTTAAAGTAAATGACTCAGTGCATTAGAACATTCAGTGATCATGCTGATATTTGGTGGGTTTGAATTAATCCGTTAATCTGGCATAAGTTTACTGTTTATTTGAATGTGAAAATAACAGAAAAATTATAAGGCATGTATCCTCCTGAGCCAAATCTCTTATACGAATAGCCCCCTGAGAAAAAGGAGTGATTGACATTGCTATGGTGGCATCCCCTTTTGGGGCACCCTCACGCTGTTGTCCTCAGCACCAACTCCCCTCCTGGGGTGCCACCTCCCTCTTGAGGCTGCAGGGGGAGAAGGGATGGGAGGTTCCACAGGCTCAGGGACACCCAAGTGTCATCACACCTTCCCTCACCCCCTGGTTAGTCTTCTCATCTCCTATGGGGCATCCACTATTATCACAGTGGAGTTTGAAGGTTCATTTTGAAATGTGCAGACCCAGGTGCTTAGGAAACAGAAAAATACCATACATATCATACATTGGATCAGAACTTTAGTGCTGGAAATTTCATCTATTCTGACCTCTGACAAAAGGTTGCCCTTGGAGAAATCTCAATCTCAAATGTTCTTAGAGATCAGTACTCTTGTTTAATTTCATCCTCAAATCTGTGCATGATTGCAAATTTGGTGTAAAAATGGTCTTTTTGGTATATAACTCACAAACATCTACCATACATAGGCCATGTCTTCTCTAAACAAAGTGGCTGACACCACAAGCTTTGGGATTTAAAACTGGAATTTCTGTTACAGACCCATTCTTGCTATTTCTTGACCCTATTCACTAAAGTAATTCAGAATTCACATTCTCACCTAACACATGTGAATTACTATAAAATCAAATAGGATAATATGTAAAGTGTGAATTTTAAACACTCTGCAAAGTGAGTATTTTTAGGCAGAAGGGAGGTTTTTATGTGTAACCACTATAGTATTCCTTTCAAGATTATTCTAGGAAATGAAATCTGTATAAAATAATGTTTCCTTTGATATCAGAGAGACTTGAGGAATGATGTTAAGACCCTTCTTGCTAATAATAATGCTATTATAAGTATTAATAACAAAGTGATAGTTATTAACAACCATCTTTTATATAGGTCTATATCCTAGATTTAGCCAATGGTGTTTGATATTTGTTCTGGTTAATGTTTCCTGCAGGACTAACAGGGATTTTTCTTCCTAAATTATTGATAGTTCTGTGGGTAGCAGGGAGCATTAGGGTCTAGCCAACAGGCTGTCATAAGCTGGAAGGTATCTGGAAGAGCACCAGTCTTTCACCTTGGCCCAGCGTGCTCCACGTTCTAAGAATGGCTTCTTTGGGTGTTGACATAAGATAACATGCAGGAAGACGAAGGCCTTTGCTGTCTGTAGTGTTTCTGGGGCTAGAATAGAAGTGTGTGGCTTTCAGGGCATGATGCAATTCATTGTTCTCATGTTACTTCATCAAGTCTGGGTTACAATAGCTCAACCCCTCGTACAGGCAACTTAGTAAACTAAGTCGTGCTTTGGATCAGTGGAGGAAGCCTGGTGATGCTGGTCTTTCCTGCAACTACACTTCAGAACCAATCATGAGCCCACAGGAGATGGCACCACCAGGCACAGAGGCACGGGAGGAGCTCACAGTTCCCTCATTTCTTTCAAGGAGAATAAGGCCACTTGTCTGTCTTCATCACACTCCTGAGAGGAGAAGAGTTTTACATTTGTATCTGGAGTTGAATCTCCCTGCTGTTTACTTGTCCATTGGCTCAGAAAAAGCAGCAAGAGATTATCACATCACTGTCAGTCTATAAACTGGGGTCTTTGTGTGCCCACAGTCAGAGGGGGTTGGTTTGACTCTTTAATATTCCATTTGAGAAAAGAAAGTCTAAAGATTTTAACCCAAGTATTTCTCTACATTTTTTCCAATATGTTTCTTTATTCCTCCTTTAGAAAGACAAAAAAAAACCCTCCTTAGTTATCATCCCTGGAGATAAGAATCTATTTTTTAAAAATTAATAACCGCATGACTGGATTTTTAAAATAAATTATAGGGAAAGTCGATGGATTTATGACAAAATTGATTTATGCCAAAATCAATTTTAATTTTCAAGAAATATGCCTAAGAATTTACTCCAAATATTAATAGGATAACAATTGGGTAACAATTAGTTACTAATTTTTTTGCCAAGTATACTTTTCATAGTAGATATCAGTGATCTTATTTACTATTGGAAGACCAATTTTATAAATGAATTGTTAAGTAAACAGAGAAATTGAGTTTAATTAAATTATCTTTCCCTTAAATCATATTTATGTTATCATATTTATGTTATCATATTCTTGGATATCTTTTCACAGGCAATGCACAATGACATCTATTGATATGTTTATAAGAAACAGTAATCGATCCAATTTCACAAATTTCTTTTACATATCTGGTATTGTGCTAGATTTTGTGACTATTTTCCTAAGTTATCCTGTCAACTCTGAGATTAAAATAACTATCATCTTCATTGCTCAGATGAGGATGTGGAGTCTCAGATTTGTGGTCTCTTGTGTAAGGTCACATAGCTCTTGCAACATGAGACCTGGGTCAGAGCTGAAACTACGTGGCCCCATGGCCTATGTTGTATTCTTGGTTTGCTCTGCTGCCCTAGTACAATGGGGGTGTCACACTCAATGGTCAAGTTTTGGTAGAAGGAGCTATTTGACTGCACTCTTCAGTGGGCTACTGACAGGCAGAGCTGCTACTACCTGGACAGGAAAAAATCAAGTCTTCCCTATAATTCATAAAATTAAAAAAAAAAAAATCTGGTCATGTAGCTACTCAAGGGTCCTTCCCATTAACCTCTTTATTCTGCTTACCGTCAGACTAGATCAAAAAGACACAAAGAAGGTTTTGTACCTTGTTTCCCCAAACCTTTCTTTTTTTGTTGTTTGGAGTTGGAATCTCACTCTGACGCCCAGACTGGAGTGCAATGGCACACTCATGGGGCCACTGCAGCCTTGACCTACTGGGCTCAGGCAAATTCTTCTGCCTCTGCTTTCCAAGTAGCTGGAACTACAGGTGTGCACTACCATGCTTAGCTATTTTTGATTTATTATAGAGACAAGTTCTTACCAAGTTGCCCCGGTGGGTTTCAAACCCCAGGGCTCAGGCAGTCCTTTTGCCTCAACCTTCTAAAGTGCTGGGATTACAGGCTTGAGCCACTGTGCCGAAGCTATCTAAGAGGAGTTTCTAATCTCTAGGAGACCCTGAGACCTGCTGTCCATGCTGTCCTTGGTGCTTATGGGTTATGACTGATCAGAGCACAATATTTTTCCTCAGCAAGTTACATTAAAAGAACACTATTTTAAAGTTCTATTTCAGTCAAGTTTGACCTCAAGGATGAGTTTTTTTTTTTTAAGTTTTAATGTTAGCAATTCTTGGCACAGCCATTTAATAAATAAGATGAGAAAATCATGCAAATGATAGAGCCAACTCATTGGACTTAGGGATAACCTTTGGGGATGTTGATATAAGAGAAACTGTTACTATTCATGTGTGTCCTTTGGAATTCTAGGACTTACTGACCACATATATGTATGCATTTCATAAAGTAAATTAACATGTACTGATTTTTGAGGGCCCTGGATCTAGACAGACACCGATGTGGGCACCGTGTATGACAGTGGAGGACAGGGAAGCTGACCTCTTCTGGTGGACCTTCTCATAGCAGCTGGCTCACAGGTGACGCACCACAGTAACGTCATGTCATTTGGAAGCTGGAAAAGACTCCACAGGAGGCATAGGATGGAGCAGCCAGGAGCACTATTCACTTAATTTTCACCCGCTATGAATACCAGTGTGAAGTCATAACTTGCCACTTGGAGAAAAACCACACTCTGGCAAAGAGCTCATGATGTTCCCATTTCATGGCTTCAGAAAGAGAAGAATGACTCCAGGACTTGGGCTTTAATAGTCATATCTAAAAATCCCCCCCAAAAAATATTGTAGCCTTCCAGGTGGTAGGACTGACCACAGCTTGTCAAGTTAAGTAAAGGAAGGCTTGGAGGTGTGGTGATGCAAGGCTTTTGGTAGAGACTTTTAAAGTCATTCTAAGGATTGTGCATTGATTGGTTCAGAGGATTAGCAAGATTTCTCAGCAGTAGGTCAGATAGAAAATAATTGAGGCTTCCCAGGTGGACAGTCTCTGTCGTGATTCTTCAAGTTTTTCCTTGTAGCATGAAAACAGCCACAGACCATAATCAATGGGTATGTCTGGGGTCAGGCAAGGCTGATGGATTCATTCAATCAAGAAATGATGGTCCACTTTTAGGTTCAGACAGTTTGTTACATACACGGGCAGCCAGAGTAAGAGCAGAAAAAGTATCAGCTCCTCATGTCCCTTTTCTCACAGGATGACACCAAAACAGTAGGGCCCAGGTGACAATGCAACAAGAGAGCTGAGGCACCAAGCTGCTCAGAAATCAATTCAGTGCTGCGCCTAGCATGTTTAGAGACTGCACCTGGACCCTGGTGGGGCTGAGAGTGGGGGCAGAAAGCCTTATTCTTTGTCTGAAGCTGGAAAGCAATGAGAAGCTCTCTCCTGACAGCCTCCCTGGTACACAGGGAGGCAGGAGGAATGGCCTTGTAGCAGTTTCTCATACTCCTCCCCCGTTCTAGAATGGGGGAAGATCTTGGGGCATTTTGCCAAAGCTCTGGTCAGCTATGGGTGAGCTTTGCTTTGTGGCCTCGGTGGAATCATGAACAGTTTCCAGGGCTGAACATACCCCTAACATT